CGTGGAGGGCGGCTGCGAGGGCGCGGTGGGCCACGGCCGGAGTCAGCACCGCGGACAGCGCCCGCAGCCCCGCCGGCAGCCGCCACGTGGCGGGAAGCGACCTGAGGCCTGTGGTGAAGAGCGGCCGGACTCCAGACACCGCCTCTGAAAGAAGCAGTTCTTAATTAATATGAATGCCTTGCATCGTGTCAGACCTTCTCGTGCGTTTACGCTCCCTCTCTGGGCAACTTCATCCCTGCCTGCCCCTCTTAACGACAGCGAGGTGATAACGCAGGCAGGTCCTGTGCTGCTGGGTGCTCCTGAGCCACGGGCTTGGTGTGGCTGTAATGCATTGGTGACAATCATTATATTCACGGGTATTTCTAGAGGAAGAAAAAGGCTAGTGGGTGTTCATATGTTCATGTTGTATTATTTAAGAGAAGCCATTTGAGAGCACGGGAGAAGCAGTGTCTGTTCCCAAAAGGAGGAAAAATAATGGAGGGGAATATTTGCAAAAAGCTCAGTTAAGTAAATATTTTATGCCCAATAATGTTATGGCTTTTGAATGATGCATGCAAGGGAGTTGAAAGGAGGTGAGGCACAGAGCAAGGCAACATACATTGTGTGCGTGGAGTGCAAAGGTGTTCGTGCGGGGGGAGGACAAAAGGAAACGTGGTGCCCAGGCTGCTGCACCTCACCCCAGCTGGGCAAGCTGCAGGAGGAGGCAGCACAGCAGGGAAGGACCACCCCCAATTCTGGATTGATAACTCCCTTCTGTATCAGGAAAGTTAGAGCTGACCTTACAGAGGAGTGGCTTTCGTCCCCTGCTGACAGGCTGACCCTTCTCCTGCTGTGTTTGGTGCCACATCATAGGGAGGGATGGTGAGAGAGATCTGCATCCCACTGACCAAGAGGAGGAGGGACACAGGGGGCAAGGAACTGGAAGACAAGCAGATGGTCCAGGAGGAAAAGGAAGATGGGAAAAGCAGAAGGAAGGCCAACCAGGCAGAGGGAGGCAGCAGGGCTGCCAAGGGGAAGAAAGCAGTGCTGGCACAGGCAAGGATGATGCTCTGACCTGGGGAATTCTGCCACTTGCAGGCAGAAGCACTGGGTGAGCATCAGGCACGAGGTAAGCACAGAAGGGAGTAAAATACCATTAAGCATAATAAGAAATGTACTTGATCAATGAGCTCTGCAGCTGAGGATCAATGGGAGGCAGACACAGCCATTAGCTAAGAAAGCTGAGAAAGAGCCCCAGGCTCTGATGAAGTGGTCAATACCATGTTTAACTGAGCAGCAGAGGAAGGGTCCCCAACAAAGAGCAGAGCCAGGATGCAGCCAGGAGAGATGGGACTGATCCCACCCCATTCCTCAGGGCTCAGACACCCAACAGAGCCCAGGCCAGGGCTTGTTGAGAATCACACACACACACGGGCTTCCTCAGGAGGCAGGTTTGATCTTCACCCTCTGAGTAAATTCAGGGCCAACAGCCACACGGGTAGCACCCCTGGCCCCAAGCCTGGCACTGAGACCCCATCACACTGCTGCCCAGGACTCCATCAGCACCCGACTGCTGCACCAAACTGACCTCTCACTGCTCTGCAATCCCTTCACACATCCTCTGGGGCTGTCTTCTGCAATCCTGACCCATTGCACCGCTTCTCACTTTGCTGAAACCCCACAGCCAGAGCCTGACCTCGATGAACCAAGCTAGCAGAGAAGAAAAGCAGCACTGATCTCTGTGAGCCTGCAGGGACTAGACACACAACCAGCGATGTCTCAGGAGCTTTAGAGCCTGGGGTTGTGCTAAAGGCTGAGTCTGCGTGTGAAGACAATGAGACAAGCAGCTGTCCCCTGGGGTCCCTCCTGGGGAGAGCTCCTTGCACCCAAGGGGGCTGAAATAAAAGCCCCTCTCCCAGGGGGCTGCTCCGGGCTCCTGCCATAGGATGTGCTCCAGCCCTTCATCACTGCAGGCAGCACAAAGCACATCCCTATCATTGCCCTGCAGGAATAGCTGTGTGGTGACCCAAGCCTGGGCAGAGGGGCACAGTTTTTTTGAGCCCTGACCTCAGGCACACTTCAGCAGTTCCCTCTGGCAGAGCTCTGCCCCCTCCCTGCATTACTCACACATTCCTTCAGATCAAATGCTTTCAGCAGCAAGCACAGCATCTCCTGAGAGAGGCAGATGGCAAAACTCCCAGCCCAGCCAGCAGTGGCCAACCAGGCAAACACCTGCAGGAGGAGCTTCTTATTGGAGAGATAGGGACAGTGCAGACCCTCCCCATCACCCACCCACAGTGGTCCCTACAGCATGCAGGTGGGCACACAGAAGGTTCCTCCTCCACTGGGCACAGCCCCCTCCAAAGAGCCACACCTGCTGTGCTCTGCAGGGAACTGATCCTGCTCAGCTCCCGTTGCCTCCCAGCTGTCCCAGCACAGCCTCCAGCCCCCCAGCAGCCCCACACATCTCCCTCTGTCTGCAGTCCAGGCCATTGAGCTGCACAGCTCATCCCAGCTCTGCTCACCGAGGCAGCACTGCAGTCTTAGCCATAAGGTCCCAGCACTGGGTACTTTAATAGCACTAATGAGCTCTTGGTACACTCACAGCTCTGTGTCAGGAGCCCAGAGGAGCACTGCAGACACCCCCCCCACATCAGAGGAAAGAGCAGGTTCTGTATAAGCACGCACAGGGGCAAACCAGGACACCTCAAGCTGCTTTGTTCAGTTACCTTCCCACTCTCCTAGCAACCTCCCTTCCCTTCTCCTTCCTTCTCCCTCTTCTCAGAGGGCTACACACATAATGCTTTGACCATTGGGTCAGAGTAACCTCTGTACAAAATGGAGCTCTTTGGGGCTAGGCAGCAAAGCAAAAAAAAAAAGATATTTCCTTCCTTTCCGTCAACCCATCCAGTTTACCATTTCCAGCCTTTAGCCAACCTGCCAAGCACCCAGAATTGCTGTCACTGTACTTTCCTGTAGGAGACAGCAACCATTCACCCACCCAGGCCCCACTCCTCACCTCTCTGGAAGCTTCACACACACCCAGGTCTGCACCTCACTCTCCTTTCTGCCAAGTTCCTCCTCCTGGGCTTGGGAAAGGCAGCACCAAATAGGCAGCTGGGATGTGGGAGAGCATTTATAAAGCGTCCCATCCCTCCCCAACAATCAGTGAGGCTCACCTGTGCCCACTCCTTCACCCCATTAGCAGTGAGCAGCTCCAGCTGTGCCAGTAATGGTGCCTGCAGAGCCAAGTGGCCGCTCCAGGGGTCAAAGCATGAAATCCCTGTCAGAAACTCGAGTAGTTCACACACACCCAGGTGTGTGAAGCTTCCAGAGAGGTGAGGAGTGGGGCCTGGGTGGGTGAATGGCTGCTGTCTCCTACAGGAAAGTACAGTGACAGCAATTCTGGGTGCTTGGCAGGTTGGCTAAAGGCTGGACATGGTAAACTGGATGGGTTGACGGAAAGGAAGGAAATATCTTTTTCTTGGCAGCCTTCATCCTGCTCTCCCCAGAAAGTTGCAATTTTATTTTCCATTTAAAAATAAAAAGAAAGAAAGAAAGAAAGAAATCCATGTGACTCACACAGACCTCTGCAGGTGTCACATTGGGCCCTCGGCTTCCCCTTGGGGAACACCTATGGGCAGCGCTCCTGCTTGGAGCTCCCAGGCACCCACCCACAGTGAAAGCATCAGCCGCACTCCCAGCGCTGCTCCCATGGCCCCAGCAGCATCAGCAGCATCAGTGAGGGGTCTCTGAGCCATGGCAGCCCCTCGGCCACAGCTGCTCATAGGGTGAGAGTGGGGTTCTGCTGGTGCCAGATCAACTGCATCAGCTCCAGGTGCAGATCAGCAGAGTCTCCAGGTAGAGCGGCCAAAGGTAACGTTCTTTATCTGCACCTCATGCTCCACAGATACTGAATATCAAAATGCACCTCTATACACTCCTGTTACTAAGTGCTCCTTAGAGATTAGAGCACTGCTCCTCCTCAGTACCATCTTCTCTTTCCCAGTAGAGCAGATGGACACGATAACTTATCAGGACCTTCCCACGTGCTGTTCATCAGTAATAGCACAGGGACTTATCGACTCACCTCACATCAGCATGTGGAATATTTAGGGCTATTCCCGAGCTGGGCAGGAGATAACGTATTTATCAAGGAACCCTTTGACCCCTCAGTGTCTGGCAGGCCTCTATATCCTCATGGAGAGGACAATACTGGGGGGATGCTCAGGGGTACCAAGGCCAGGAAGGGAGAGCCACGGGCAGCACAACTCATCTGCCCACCTCACCCTGGGTGAGGACATGCTGGGGGATGAGCCCAGGCAGATCTGGGAACCAAAGGAGAGATGGTTGAGCTCAGTGAGGCAGGGGAATGGCACAGCACTTGGGTAGCAAAGCAGCCAAGGAATACATCCAGAACCTGAGCAGAGAGAGAGAGATGAGCAAAGACACAAAGGTTGAAAGTTCAAGCCCCGGGGACCCATGTCAACCTCTGTTACATAAGTCTAGAAAAGCCTTAAACTTGCTTTTGCTGAGAAAGGAGTCGTCAGCAATGATAAAACCCCAGAGAAGTCATAAAAATTACAGACGGTGATAAAATGAGATGTCAGCACAGCAGAGCTTCGCAGCAGGCGATGGGACCGGGGCCGGCACCGCAGCACAGAGGGGTCCCCATGGGGAGGGGATGTGGGCTGCCAAACGTGGTGACAGCATCCTCCTTTGGGCTGTTCCAGCACATCCCATCACCTCGTTCTGCTTGTGGCAGAAAACTCATTCATGCTTCAGCAATAGGAAGAACCTCACATCACAGCCACGAGGCACCGCGGATGGAGGCACAGATGTGGTGTTGGAGGGGGGAAGAAGTCCCAGCTAATCCACTCCAGAAGAGAAGAGCCAGACAGAAACAAAGAGGCTCCTTCTGATACGAAGTCCTGGCTGAAGCCCTGCACCCGATCAGCTATTGCAAGATTAGATAAGAGCTGAACTTAGTCCCCTCCTGCATATATTAACGAGAGCTCCGGATGTCTGCACTACCTCTCCTCAAGGGCAAGATGATGTTTGCTTCCCTGGTGCTGCTGTTTGCTGCCTTCCCTGGAGCAAAAGGCAGCCCTGTGCCACACGCATCCGGCCGTGACAAAGTCCTCCTGGTGTCCTTTGATGGCTTTCGGTGGGACTACGACCAGGACGTGGACACCCCCAACCTGGATGCGATGGCTGCAGAGGGGGTGAAGGCACGGTACATGACCCCCGCCTTCATCACCCTCACCAGCCCGTGCCACTTCACTCTGCTGACCGGTGAGTGCCACCGACCCGCAGAATGGGAAAGGGCAAACGAGGGGTTGGGTGTAGGACAAGTTACTGAGCCAAGCAGGCGGCCCACAGACCGGCCTTGAAGGCGCCCTGAGCTTTAGCACATACGTGCTGTGGAAAAAAGAGCTGAGGTGCGTTGAGGTAGAACTGAACCTGTGCTCATCGGAGGTAAATGGCATCAGACTCAGCCGACAGCCTGCTTTGATAAGGGAAATGATTTTTTAGACAAGGGAGATGCAGCACATCTCATCTTCCCGGACTTCAGCAATGTATTTGATACGGTGCCTCGTGGGAAATCATTAGTTAAGATGGAGAAGATGAAGATTAGTATGAAATCTCTAATGTGAGTAAGTAACCGGCTGTGGGAAGGCAACAGCAGGTAGTGCTGAAAGGAGCGCCGAGCAGCAGGGAGGGCAGCAGGGGAATTCCTGCAGAATCAATGCCAGAGCCAATCTTATTTAAGATTTTCATTAATAACCTTGGCATAAAAGAGTGGTGCATGCTAATGAAAGCTGCTGATGAGGAAAGGCAAGGGAGGGATGTCGATACAAAGGAGGGCTGGGACGTCACGCAGAAGGAACTGCGCAGCCTTGAGAAGCAGGATAACAGAAGTAGCATGAAATGGAACAGCACAAAGGGCCGGCCTTCCACCTGCAGCAGGGATTTGTGCTTTCTGCTGACCTCGTCCGTTGTGAACAACAACAGAAAGCAAAAGAGCAAAGAGATGGGTTCAACACGGCAGAAAGGTGAACCCTAAATGGGGTGGAAAGGGCAGGAGGGATGAGAGCCCCACAGAGGGTCCTGGGATGCTCCCAATGGCTGGGGAGCCCCACTGCTCGCTGAGCCCCGCTCGCCCTCACCCCGTCCGTCTCTTCCGGCAGGGAAATACCTGGAGAATCATGGCGTCGTCCACAACATGTGGTTCAACACCAGCACTGGGGTGAAGCTGCCCTACTACACCACGCAGGGCATCGACAGCTGGTGGGACAACGGCAGCCTGCCCATCTGGATCACAGCACAGAGGCAGGCAAGTGGGGCTGCTGCTCTGCGGCTGTGCGCTCCAGGCGACGGGCGAGCCACGATCTCTAGTGGCCAGCAGCTGACTTCCTTGCTGCAAGCGACAGGGCTAATTACAGCAGCCAAAAGAAAATTAAATCCCCAGGCAGCGGCAGGTAGAACTGTGATCGTCCTATTAAAAAGAGAGAAAAATTAAAGGTGCGTTTCGGCTTTATTAAGATGTTAATAAAAGAAGTTATCTACTCGCTCATTAAGAAGAGCCCAGCCAGCAGACTGAGCCCCCACGCTGTGCAGTGCACTGGCCTCATCTCCTCAGCCTCACCCAGGGGGGTTGTGCAGGGGGCTGCTCCCCCCTCACCGAGGGCTGCAGAAAGGCTTTGGATCTGGCTGTAAGGCAGGACATGAGACCTTACGCCAGACACAAACCTCTGCTATGTTTACCTGCCAAATTGCACCCATTGACTTCAGGGTGAGTGCTTGCGTGACTGCAGTAAAGCACACCTTAATGCTAGCATGGTACAAACAGGTCAGTGTGTCTGAAGTTATCACTAGCGTTGCTAACGTCATGAGAGAACCAGCAGAGAGGGAAGGGCAGGGCTTACAGTCAATCACTCTTAACGGGTGGTGAGCAAGAAAACTTTGTTAGAGGCAGAGGTAGACATCAAGGGGCTGAATGAATCAACCACATCCATGGGCAGCAGTTGTACTGACTGAGTTGTACTGAGCGAGGCAGAGTGAGTTCAGCTGAGTTCACATAACATCTTCACTAACAGGGTTTAAAGACAGGCTCCATCCATTTCCCCGGGACAAAAGCAAAATATCAAGGAGAAGAAGTGAGCCTGAAGCTGGTGGAGCCTCCCCTGTTCAACTACAGCAACGAAACCGTTTGGAGACAGAACATTGACACTGCCATGGAATGGTTCACAGTGAACAACCTGGACTTCATCACTCTCTACTTTGGTGAGCCAGACTCAACAGGACACAAATACGGCCCCGAATCCACGCAGAGGAGGAACATGGTCAGCCAGGTGGACCAAACCATCGGCTACTTAAGGCAGAGGATCAGGGAAAGCGGCTTGGAATCAAACCTCAACCTCATCATCACATCTGACCACGGCATGGAGACGGTCATAAAGAGCGACGAGATCCACCTCCGGAATGTCGAGAACTTCACATTCAGTGACATCCAGTTTGAACTCTTAGATTACGGACCCAACGGGCTGCTGATACCAAAAGAAGGGAAATTAGAGCACGTGTATTCAGTCCTGAAAAATGCCCACCCGAAGTTACACGTGTACAAAAAAGAAGAGTTTCCAAAGAGATTCCACTACGCCAACCATCCCCGGATCACCCCGCTCTTGATGTACAGTGATCCAGGATATGTGATCCATGGGGTAAGATGCACGTGCACACACTTTACTGCCTTTCTTGGATCTGTCTCTTTCTTCCTCTCCTCTTCACAGCCCATCAGAACCTACCTGGCTTTACGCCTTCATTTTGACCCATCTCCCCACAGACGGGTGGTTATACCCTGAGACTGCAGAACATGGGGACCTGGAGGGAGGGAGCAGGCAGGGCACACTGCCTCCATGAGGCCACGCTCCAGGGGGCTGAAGAGCTGGGATACTCACATCTGTCTGCCTTCCAGAGATACAAGGTGCAGTTCAACACGGGAGAGCACGGCTTTGACAACGAAGCCATGAACATGAAAACCATCTTCCGCGCCGTGGGGCCGGCCTTCAAGCAGGGGCTCATAGCGGAGCCGTTCGAAAGCGTCAACGTCTACGCTCTGCTCTGCGAGCTGTTGGGCATCGCGCCGGAACCTCACGACGGTTCTCTGGACGCCACGAGGTCGATGCTGCGTGAGTCCCCCGCGTCCCATCGAGCCCCGACGGCGCGGCCGCCCCGAGCCCCGCATTGCCGCACGGACAGCGCCACCTAGCGGCGCCTCCCGCGGCACCCCGGCAGGAGCGCCCCGCGCTTCGCTTCCCCGCACAGCCCCGCTTCCCCGCAGCAAGTCTGCCCTTCTACATTTCCTTCTAAATGCCTACAAGTGGCCCAGACACCAAAAGCAAGGCTTTATGCTGCCGGTAGAGGTCAGGAACAGGAGGTTACGCGGCCACCTCCCTCCTGGTGGCTGCTCTCTGCACCAGTCCCTGATTGAGCTCAGCCACCCGCCACCAGGGTAATGCTGCACTTTCGGCGTTGCAGGTTCCAGCGCTCCTCTCCTTGCTGTAACAAAGCTGCCAGTGATGCTGGGAATCGCTCTCATCTTGAGCTGCTGGGGAGGAGCATACTAACCCCTACCAGAGGTAATTACTGTACGGCCAGAAAGCTCTGTGCAGGTGCTGCCTTCTTTAGGCACGTGCTCTGTTTGCTCTTCCTTCCTTTGGGCTCTGCCCACCAGCTGCATTCTGCAGAGCACAGGTTTCTGAAGTGCACAGGTCCTCAACTTGCTGCACAGAGCAGCAGTACCACCACCAATCCTCCTGTTTACTTGTCCCCCTGCCCTGCAGCCTCTGTGAGCTGCAGATATTTGTCTAACCAAACTTTCTGGCTTTATGGCTTATAGTAAAAAAATGGGCAAACAGAAGCCAGGTACCCCAAGCTCAAAACCCACAGCACACAGGAGAGGCTCTGGCTGCCGTCCTGCAGAGCCGTACTCACAAAATTTTGCCTACCAACAGCTCTCACCCTGGGCTGTAGATGCTGCTCTTGGAAGCTCTGGGAGAAAAATACACCAAGCTTTAATCCTTGATGTTTTTTGGAGAGACAGTCAGGACACACCAGATCACAGCAAACACCCAGGGTCTGTGGTTCACAAGTCCAGGACCACGCAGACTCTGTGCCCACTTGGTTCAGCCCTGCCTGGTGCTACTCTGCACAGGGCTGATGTGCTGTGGGTGCATGGGGCCATTATACAAGGCCAAACTTTTATCCTCTGCAGGAAGCAGCCCAGGATCTCTCCCAGGGGCTCAGGGAACAGCACAGCTCTGCAATCTCAGGGCCCTTGGCTCTGCCCTTCTGCCTGGGGCATCAGCATGGCAGCTGCCCCGACCCCGTCCCAGATGCTGAAGTGCCTCTCCCCAACTCTGTGCCTCATCTCAGGGGCTCGATAAACATCTGTTGCCATAGAGATTTGCTCAAGCTGCCTTCCCTGCGTTGGTTTCACCCAATAAGATGAAACAAGAGACGCACGCTTCACTCAGAAGAAAAAAAAAAAAACAGGAAGAAAATGTTTGGCTTGAAACCATATTGGGGGTGGGGGTCAGACCGGCAGCATGCAGAGCAAACAGTCCATTAGGCAAACAATGGGGAGGCTCTGCAAGGGGAGCCACATGGGCCGGCACTGCAAATATTATTTAAAATAATATCAATACAGTAACTTTGAAAGTAATCCTGCTGTGACCTTGGGGCTTTCCACCCTGGGAACAGGCAGCCAGGGCTGAGGTGACACTGCTGGTCCCAGTGACCCCATGGAGCTGACAGCAAAAAGAGGCACAGCGGTGCCAAGGGTCCCCATGTGGCCACAGCGCAGAGCAGAGCACAGTGGGAGCCTTCGTGATGTGACCCCTTACCTAAGGCTGGGGTTTGCCTCAGCTGTGAGCTCTGCACAGGGCGATGTCCAGCAGAAAGCCCTCCAGAATGGAGGCTGAGCGCAGTGCCGCCCCAGTGAGCGCAGCGCTGCCGCAGCCCCGAGTCTCTGTTTCGACTTCGAGCAGGGGTGAAAAACGAAGGAAGCGTCGAATTTGCGTATTTGCATCAGAAGACACCCAGCCCCGAGCTCGGAGCCAGCAGGAGCAAGGCTCGCTCCTTCCCCACCCCCAGGGCCGCGATGAAGGAGGGGAGCGGGAGGCCGAAGGACGCGGAGCGATGCGCTGCGCCCGGTGCGCGTCCCGGTGCAGTTCTGAGTGCCGGCGGGCGGTGGCCCCCGCGCCGTGCTCAGCTGCCGGTAGCGGCCCCGCACAGCCCCGCACAGCCCCGCTCCGTTCCCGCAGTGCCGGATGAGCTGTGAGAGGCCCGGAGGTGATGGGGGTGTGGGGGGAGCTGCGCCCAGGTGCTGCCCGAACCCGGAACGATTCCCAGCCCGGCTTCTCCTTACGCAAACTCCATAACCCGAAGCCGTCGGCAGACGTTGTCCTTGCGTCCTTCGCAGCCCTTCTCTTCGCATCTCACACCTCGCACGCGTTCACCGCGCGACATTTCAACCCCGGCCAACAGCCAAACCCCCGCCTGCAGCCGCTCAGCCCTGCGCTGTGCCTCCCCCTTCCATCCCCACGTAATTCATTCCCCCCCCCCCCCCCCCCCTCCCCAGGGCTGAGGGTCACGCAGCAGGGAGAGGCCTGTTGTGCATTGCATCCCAATTTGCTATGCATTTCCACACCATTTGCTCCCCTTTCTTTTTCCCATACTAGAAAGATGCTTGCTACCCAGGGGTCCAAACTGCTCCAAGATGGTAACATAACAACAAACATCGACATACATACATTTATGTTCTTTTGGCACACACAGTTTGCAGGGAAACTACTGCTCTGGGGGACGGCCCGCACCCCTACAGCCCCCACACCCCACCACAGGACCCAGCAGCAGAAGCTCTGCTGTTCCATGTCACACAGCTGCATGGTTCCATCCCCATCTGTGCTCAGCCTGATGCTATGCAGACCTCCATGCCTCAATTCCCCGATGCTTTAGGAAAACCAGCATTTGCCCACAGCAAATACGGCCACAGTGGCACACACCTCTCCCCCTCCCCAGTCTGACTCTTTGAAGCCAGGGGAGTTTTGTGCCCTTGGCACACCCCCATGTCATGCATGACGTCGTGGCTGCCCACCTCCATGCAGGTGACAGAGCTGTGGGCTGTGGGAACGACCTCACACTGTTGGTGGAAGGAAAAAAGAAAGCCAAGCTGGATTATTTGATATTTTACCAATGGGAATGTAACTGCACCTTCAACTTCCGAATGCTGCAGTGTGTTCCTATGGGCTGGTGAGCAAGAAAGCAAAACGCCACGCTGCTTCACCTCTGTGAAAACCCAACTTGCTGTCCAGAAACACCCACACTCTTCTGAAGCCCACTGCAGCATCCTGTAATCCACCCCACCAACCTCACCCCAAGGTTCTGCTCTCTGGGTGCAGATGCTCCTCCCTCACCTGAGCACAGCGCAGCCCCATTCACCACCACGGCCCCCCCACGCATGGCATGTCTGACATATTTGGGAAGAGCTATAAAATTATATTCCACCAGGTCAGGTCATGGCTCTGCATCTCTTTTTTAAGGTGCTCACTGTCCTGATGCCATCAGGCACACGTGGTGAGATTTGTCATTTGACCACACAGCTCCATCTCTGGAGCTTAAAGCCATCCAATAACAGGAAACCTGGGACTGAGCTGAGGAAGCTGGCACACCACACACCAGCCACCATCGAGACAGGGAATGCCGAGGGAGCAAATCCTCACACAGGGTTGGGGTCACTATGGGGTGACCCGCAGTGCCAGGGGGGTGCACTGCAATGCAGAGCATGCAGCTCCCAGCTGGGGGGATGGGACCCAAAGGTCTCTAGCTCAGCAAAGCGACAGTGGAGCAACACAGAAGTTTTCCCCACTGATGGCAACGGGAGCTCAGTTCAGTCGGTGTGGGACACACAGGGTGTGCTGGGATGCACAGCATCCCAGGAATGTGGGTTGTGGAAACAAAGGGATGGCGTTGGTCAGGAGGGTCACACAGGAACAACAGCTCATCGGACACAGCACTGCAAACACGGCACACGCTCAGCCCCCATGCAGACCCAGAGCTCTGCTGCCACCTCCCTGCCTCAGCTTCTCCCAAGCTCAGGCAGACAAAGCACCAACACCCAACCCAGCCTCTCCCTCGGCGCTCTGCGAAGGAAGAAACCCATTATCGCGTTTTTGCATCCTGCAGAGGAGCTCAACAGCCCCGACACTGAGATGAGCCAACCCTCAGGAGGGAGCCCACCCAGCGCTGCAGGAACACGGGCTGATTTCCTCGGCGTTCTTATTTCCTCAGGCTTATCGTTCCCTCGGTGCTCCTTGACAGGCAGTTCAGGCCCTGCACATCCCTGCCCAGTGCCAACACAAAGCAGCATCAACGCCAAAGTGTGCAGGATGGAAACTCTCACATGGTCGTTTTTTCCTTTGCACACAAAGACCAGAGCCGACGAAAGCCAAATTAACTTAAAAAAATTAAAAGGTGCGGTGCTGGCTCTTATATTTCTACATCACTTTCGGCTGACAAAAAAAAAATAAATAAACGCTTCTAACCATTCTTCTTGTCAGCGAACATCAACAGCCAAAAGAAAACAATCAGCTGTGACACCACCCGACGTCGGCTGAGCACCTGGTGGGGACGCAGCGCCCCGACCTCCCGGCAGCTCCGTCCCCTCCCTCCATGCAGCGGCACGCCGGGCCCGGAGGTGCGCGCAGAAGGGATTCTGACGCCGGTATCGCTTACCCGACACGGGCGGCCCGGGTTGCGGGCGGGCGGGACACGCCATGGCCCGCTCAACCCGAGGCGGTCGGGCTGCGGAGGTTCCTCGCCCCGTGGCTCTCCCGCACGGTTATTACCCGCAGGCTCCGGGCCCGCGGCTGCGAAATCCGCGCGGTGCTGACTCATCTCCTCCCATGCCCGCAACGCACCGTGTGCCGCTGCTCCACGCCCCCCGCGCTGCCCCGCGTCGCTCAGTCGCGGGGAACGAAGCCGCGCCGGGCGCTGCCGGGCTGCCACCCCCCGGTGAAACGCGGTTCGCTCCCCCCGCAATGAACCGTTCAGAGCCAGAACCGGTGGCAACAACACAACTCCGGTTCACCGCGGGGCCGGGCGTGTGCGGAACGCCTCCGGCCCGGTGGGTTCCCCCCCCCTCTCCGGATGCTCCGAGAGGCGATACGGGACCGCGGGGTCGGTCCGGCTCTCGCCAACCCCAGGCGTGTGAGGGGACGCCGCGGCATCTCCCCCCAGCCCCGCGCCGCCCCCCCGGCCCCGCGCCCATCGGAACAAAGCCCAGCGCCCGCTCCCGGTGCCGGGCCGAGCCGGAACCGCCCCATTGTCCCCGCGCTGCAGGAAGGGGAGGGGTCGCGCAGACAATGCCTCCCCCCACCCCCCGCCGGCTCGCCCCGCCCCCCGCTCTCCATTGGCCGGCGGGGAATTTGGGGAGCCCCCCCTCATCTCCCTTTGCCTTCCTCCCCCCCCCCCATGGGGGCGCGCGCGCTGCATTGTGCCGGGGGGCGCGCGGGGATGGGGGGGGCGGGGGCGCGCGCGGGCGCCGTCGGGGGCGCGCGCGGGGGCGCCCCTTGTGTGTGTGTGTGTGTGTGTGTGTGTGTGCGTGCGTGTGTGTGTGTGTGCGTGTGTGTGTGCGGGGCCGGAGCGGGGCCGGCCGGCGCCATGGAGGAGCTGAGCAGCGTGGGAGAGCAGGTCTTCGCCGCCGAGTGCATCCTCAGCAAGCGGCTCCGCAAGGTGGGCCCCCCCCGCTTCCCGGCGCCGCCGTCGCCGCCGCCGCTCCCGCCGCTAACGCGCGTCTCTCCGCCTCTCTCCGCAGGGCAAGCTGGAGTACCTGGTCAAGTGGCGGGGCTGGTCCTCCAAGTGAGCGGGGCGAGCGCGCGGGGCGCGGGGTGCCGCCGCCCGGCCGCTTTTGTTCGGGCCGCGCCGCTCCTTTTGTTTACAAATAACGCTGCCCGGCCCTCCCCGTCGCCGCGTGGGGCTGCTCCCCCCTCCCGCCGGGCCGCCCCCCCCTTCCCCTCCCGCCCCTCCGAGCACAAGCACCGATCGCGCGTCCCCTCCCGCCGGGCGACCGGGGCTGCCCGCGCTGCGCGGGGATCGCCTCGCGGTGCGGCGGCGTGGCCGCCCCCGGCCTGCCCGGCCCGGGCCTCTGCCGCGGGTTGGGGGCTCCGCGCCGCAGCTGCCGCGATGCTCCCGGCCCCGCCGTCCCTTCCCCAGCCATCCCCATTCCGTCCTCGGCTCCCCGCCTCCCGGCCACCTTCGTCCATCCGCGGCCATCCCCGTCCCCGGCCATCCCTTCCCCCTCCGTCCACGGCCGTCTCCTCCCCGGCCGTCCCCACCCCAGCTCTGCCGCCGTGGGCGTCGGGTCCCCATCGCAGGGCTGCCCCACGACCCGGTTGTCCTCAGATGAACTCCCCGGGCCCGGCCGGTACTGGGGGTGCGGGGGGGGGGGGGGGGAGCATCGGTCTCCCACTCTCTCCCAGTGCGCATCTTCTGTTCCAGGCACAACAGCTGGGAACCCGAGGAGAACATCCTTGATCCAAGGCTCCTCCTCGCTTTCCAAAAGAAGTGAGCAAACTATAAATATTTCTTAACAAACGATAAAGCCAATTAACTTCTAATTGGCCACTCGTGCGGTGGAAGTTGTGGAAACAACAGCCTGAA